AGGGCACTGTCCTGGAGCAGCATTGTCATCGTATCAATTTTACGTTGCACGGGGTGTGAGCTCCCCTTGCAGTTCCGGTCTCAGAGGTAGAAGTGTTACTTTGTGATGGAGCTGGAGCAAAAATTTTCAATTTGATACCGGGCGTAGAGTTCGTTCATTGCAGTTTTAAGCTGCTCACTGAAACGGAGGGAATTCCGTCGCGCGCGGGTAAGAGATTTCCAAACTCGTTAATAAATCCCGAGCAGAGCATCCCAAGTAATGAGCTCTGTAGTCAGGACGAAAGTCCTCCAGCGTTGGCGCGCTTGCCGACGCATCATCCGTTTGCACTCCCTTATTGTTACTCAGATAACGTACGGTGCCTTCCAGAAAGCGAAGGCCTGGCGTATTACCAGAGCTGGTAATGAAGCCGGTGGAATATGGCGAGGAAGAACTCTTTGGCCAGCAAATATTGGGTCAAAAACACGCGTGTGCCCGTGTGATGAGTTTAGCCACGGCAACATCGTTTTTAGCAGCTCTCCATAATCAACATCAAGATCGATGTCGCCCAGTTTGTGGTGAACGAGATAAGCAGAGACAATCAGCACGGAAGCACCCACTTGTGGCATCAATTAGAATCACATAGCATCGGAATGTAAAGCGGCCCAGAGCAGATCTCACGGGAATACTTTATCGCCATTCGCATTCCAAAAGCTCCATGTAGTACCGAACGCTGGGTAGTTTGAGGATCGTGTAACCCAGCTTTAAGCTTGGGAAGTAGCGTAGTCAACTGCGATTTTGTAATTTACGCGTATGCTGACAATGCAGAGCGCTTTCGATGGAGATCGCAACTTCTTACCAAACCCATTGCTGTTCAGCATATGCTGCTTCTGCCATTCTGGCGTCACGTTAAGCCTACTGAGTCGAAAGAACAACGCATCCATGAGGTTCTGCGTTTCTGTAGTAAAAGCGCTTACCGTCAACAACTACATCAGCCAGAAAGTTTAGCACCACCAGCCGCACGAATCGGTCCTTAGCATGGCTTTCGATTGCCGCTGTCTTGGCGTTGCTGTAGCTAATTGGTATAAATCCTTGGAACCACTGAAACGGAGTGCAAGTGTCCGGTGATAGCTGCTCTTTTTCGTCGATCACTGGTTCTTTGTAAAGCAGTAGTTCGACAAGTTCATCGGCAAAAGACGAAGCTGATGATTGGCTGTACGAAGCCATGTCGGGCACTGGTGACAAGCCAGGTGGAAAATCACATTAGGCCTATGTCGAGAGCCGAAGTGAATAAACTTTGCAATCCAGTGCTTCATTGTTCCCTTAAGCTCGTGACGTAGGAGAAAAGCCGGCTGAAATAATGCAGGTGATAAATGTTCGGGTAAGTGAATCAGGTTTAGCTTTGCTGTCGGTATAAGCCATCCAGATGCCCTCAAACAAACCATCAAGCTGCTCGATGACATTTGGGCAGTTTGTCAGCGGACTGGCCAATTGTGAAAGTGTAAGCGACAATACGTTCACCATTTTACTCAAAGCTAGAGGGTCCATCCCCGCCGTAGGAAGTGCCTCAACACATGCATCGTAGGTAGTTTTCAAAAGTTTTTGTGTCAATAAACTACGATGATCTCATGACGTTGCAGTGCAGAACCCATTTGTTGGTAGCCAAGCCAATAGCACATTTTGCATCAAGCTTCCCACTGTACCGCCGACTCGTGTCAAGAGCAAGTAGAAGCGGGAGAATGCGTTCGTTTTCAAATGCAGGAAGAGAGTCTACAGCAGTAGCATTTGACCCTATGATGGACAAACACTTTGTAGCTAACGCCAAGTCATATAAGCTGTGATTTGCAGTCGCTGCCACAATTCGTTTCAACTCTTCACAGACAGCATTCAACGCAGACATTTCGTTCAACTCGCCTGTAGTGTTCATTTTGTGTGTACTCATTCGAGATAAAAGAAACGCAGCGGACTCCACGAGTTTCATAGCGTCTTCTCTTTCGTGACCTCCACATTCCAGTACATCAATGTCCGTTGGTGATGGTACCTTATCCAACCAAAGCCGGACTACTTTCATGGCTGAGCGAAAAAGATATGAGCAATTAACTTTTCCGGAATAGAAGTCTTTGCATTGGAATACAAATGTGAAACTTTGCGATGAGAGTGAGGCGCAACTATCCAAAAGTTCCCTGGATTTGCTCTTCAAACTTGGCAACAAAAAGCACAAGTAGAGTACTGTGCAATTCAAAATCTAGACTTGTGGGCAGCAATGCACTCAGTGGGGTACGGATAACGACTTTCACATTGCTCTGATGTCCAAGATGTTTGTCGGTAGGTTGAGCATTCGAATCGCGTATGACTTCTGCTGTAAAAAGCAGCAGCCTCGACAGTTGAGGTGGACTGAGCAAAGCTCCTTCTGAGTTTCCTTTCGCTTCACAATTTAAGTATGCTTGAAGTGCAGATGTCAGAGCTGTCAAAGCGCTAGACGATTTGCCAATGGCAGTGGAAGCTTTCATCCACGCCAGAAGCTGCAACATTATCTCGCCATCGTCAGCTATCAAACTACAAACAGGAAAGACACAATGGACACGTGCTAGTGCTGACAGCGAAAGTGTCGACGCACTAATAAAGCCTCCGGCAAGAGCGTGACTCAGGGCACGAAGCATCTTAGTTCGCGTCGCTTGCGAAAACGATTGCATTGCATGAACATCGACCAAAAACCGCAGCTGGCTCAACTGCTGCCTCACTAAGCAGCATCTTTGGTGGCGCGGAGGAGGCAGCACATTTCAAACGCGGGAATTGGAATACTTGCAGCATGCTCAATAAAGCATCCGGTGAATGGCTGTTAGATGCTTCGCCAAAAATCGCTTCATTCACCGCAGCAACAAACTCATCCAGCACGTGCACCTGGTCATACTCTGCAAGTTGGAAAACAAGAAAGGATACCAAAAAGTCAGCCACCAGAGTCTGGAAACGAGTGCGATGCGCGTGTTTAAAAAGAACCGGGTCATTGCAGGCACGCAGCAAGTAGTCGAGCACAAAGCGTTGGAAAGCAGAGGTACATGCGAAGGAAGTGTCGCGATCAACATTCTTACAAACACTCATCTGTCCTTCCCAGACCTGCCAAGCTCCAACGCAGGTTTCCATAAAGTTTGAAATAAAAAGACGTTTTACGACAGGGTTGTCATGTGCAAACAACCGCATTAACAGACTCTGCATCCAGTCAAAAGTCAGTCGCACCGGCCACTGGTCACTTTTTTTCCTGTAGCTGTGGCTCCAACACATTTTGAATGACAATCAAGTATTTTGTCAAAAGCCCTGCAATATGTGGCCAAACTTGTTCTATTAAATGTTGTTCGTGGTGCATTTGAATCACGTCAGATGCCGTTAGAAAGGTTTGCCACGTATCCAGCCACTCTTCCTCTTGTCTTCGTTCTAACAAATGTAACTTTTGCGGCTTCGACACCAATGCACAATGTGAAAAAGCCATTTTTAAAACATGTAGCCCCTGTTTTCGCAACAAAGCGTCCTTGTGCTGCAATGCAAAACAAACAAAAGTTTGTAGCTTTACATCACCAATAAGTTCACGTGGAGCCTTTGGTATGACAATACACACAACATACAGCAATTCATAATAGGACACAATATTGTCACGGTCCGATGGTTTTTTCCAGACATTTCCGACCATTTCCAGCAATTTTACACATTTCTTCGTTCTTGTGACAATATCACATTGAATTTCCATCAGTATTGGCACAATATGCAACGCCAGAGCTCGTAATAATTGTGCTTCTTCTTGCCATTTTGTTATTGCGTCGATACAAATTTCCATACACTTGTCCTCGAATGTCTTAACTTGATATTGCAATAACATTGCCAATAATTTACATAATGAATTGTAATAAATGGGAAACTCCTTCTTGTTGTTTTCTTCACATGATAATAGCTTCTGTACTTGATGAAAGAGCTGTATGAACGTCTCGTGGCAGTATTGGTGCTTCAGCGACGAGACCAATAAAATTTGCAATAATTGCAATATTGCATTATGGAAAGAAGTGCAATATTTATATTGTAAAAGTGGCAGCAAGACGTGGGTTGTTACTGAACCAGTTAACAGATGTATCATATGCTCTTCTGATTGGATGTTTCTTCGTACATATTCCTGAAAGTAACATGGAAACTGATATTACTGTGAAATGATACCGGTTAACGGTATTGATACTGTCTTGAAATGATGGGACCGGAGTTAAAAATGCCCCGTCAGCATCAGTTTGAAACAGGTTTTTTAGTTGTTCGGGTTCTACGACGAGACCTGTAGCAACTAATTCAAATTGCGTTTCCATTTCTATTATGCTTAACTGCTTTTGCTTATTGTGTAGCTGATGATACCGCTGCCACCGTATCCAGGCAGCAGCTACTGCATCTGCAATCGTATTAGTAATGTCTGCCATTCAAACTGAAGATTCGAATAAAACCTTGGCGTTTTACTGTAACACGATATGATTGGCTAGTACTCGAACATACTGAGCATCGATTGGTCAGATATTGATTCCAGGACTTTGATATGTGTTGCAAACCTTGAATAACCGGTATCCTCTTTGAAACTGTTTCAAAATACATACTAACGTCAAAATGTTCCGGTTTGGCCCAAATTTTGGTGTTGCAACGTGAAATATGACGGTTAAATATCGCAATAGCGGGGCACAGGCGGCTGCATCCTTCGTACCTCTCGACAAGCACTTCCAGACGTTTGTCTCTCAGAGCACGTGACCATGTTCAAGATGCAATTAATCCATCAGCTAACGCCATTGATCTGACACTCGATGACGTGCCTCAAAACTCGAAACGTCGCCGCTCGTTCTACGAGGATTCCGACGACGACAATAGTGCGAATCGAGCGTCGAAGACGGCGTTGGATTTGATTCGACAGAGTCGTAAACGTTTCGTAGCATCTACAAAGTCTTTTCAGGTGAAAAAACCATCCGTAGAGACATTAGGAGCTCCATGTTACTATTTAGACTCAGATCAAGAGCCACAGGATTTATTGATTCACGCAAACAAGAAGGTGTTTGGTAATGATTGTTTCCGACAGAATCAACGACAAGTGATAGAGACTACAATGCGTGGTGAAGATTGTTTTGTACTAATGCCTACAGGAGGTGGAAAGAGTCTTTGCTATCAATTACCAGCTATCTTGTCAAAAGGCGTGACAATTGTAGTTTCACCACTACTGTCGCTTATTCAAGATCAAGTTACAGCTTTGGTTCAAAATCCACACTGTGGAATTCCAGCTGCATTTTTGACAAGTCAAACAGTGTTAACACTTAAGAACGCTATCACGGCAGAACTACGACGACCTGTACCTAGTGTCAAATTACTCTATTTGACACCTGAGAAAATTGTCAAGTCAGACGAGATGATGAACTTGCTACAGATTTTATATCGCAATAAGGCACTTGGCGAGGTTTGTGATTGACGAAGCTCATTGTGTCAGTCAATGGGGACATGACTTTCGTCCGGAATACAGTCAGCTAGGATTATTGAAAAAGACTTTTCCAGACATGCCGCTTATGGCATTGACGGCTACTGCGCCACCTAAGGTCATTCAAGGTGTGCAGCGTTCACTCCGTATTTCAAAAGGGCTAGTGTTTTCAATGAGCTTTAACAGACCGAATCTTACATTTGAAGTGCGCGACAAACCGCGTGTTAGCGACAAGAAGGCCATGGAGGCTCTCTACGAGTTTATTTCAACAACGTATTCGCCCCACGAGGTAGGGATTGTGTACTGCATGACGAAGCAGGATAGTGAAGATGTGGCAAATTATCTGTTCGACCGTCAACTGAGTGCTGACTTTTACCACGCTGGTCAGTCCGCGACGGACCGACATATGGTGCAAGAAGCGTGGCAGAATGGACAGCTTAGTATCGTGTGTGCAACGATTGCATACGGGATGGGCATTAACAAGCCGGACGTTCGCTTCGTGATCCACTTCTCGGTAGCCAAGTCCATCGAAGGCTACTACCAAGAGGCTGGTCGCGCCGGGCGAGACGGCAAACCGTCGCAGTGTATCTTATTTTACAGTCCACGCGACGTGTCCAAATTGCGCAGCATCCTTTTATGCCTCAGAAGGGAATGACTAAGAAAACGCGTGCTGTGCACATGGAAAAACTCCGATCCATGGCCGAGTATTGCGAGGACAAAACGACGTGCCGTCGTCAACTACTTATGTCGTACTTTGGGCCAAACGTTTCAGCGCTCGGAATGCAAGCGAACGTGTGACAATTGTCAATGTGTTCAAGGCTCCAACCGTCTGACATGCTAGTTGAGAAAAACGATAACACTCTAACAATTGAATTACCAATCACTTAGTCATTCCACTGCTTTTTACACTGTACACACTTGTAGAATGTCGTAGATGGTTCATCAGCTGATCGGATCTGAATCTGCATAAAGTAAGCCTTGTTAAACTCACAGTGAGGACAGCGAGCTATTTGTGCAGCACACGAGAGAAGAGAGAGACACACAAACATCTGATCAGTCCTCACTCTTCTTTCCATAGCATAGCCCACATGTAGTAATTCCACGTACTCTCTGTTTGATCAACATTGTCCCAAGCTTCATCACCTCCTAAAAACATCGTCTACCTGTTTACGTTGAAGTGGCACCCTTTTTCTCCACCTTATCATGAATTTGAAACAAATACGGACAGGTTTGACAGAAAAACCGCATGCCATCAGACTATAAATGGAACAAGAAGACACCACAACAAATATAATTAGTAAGAAAGAATACAAACAAGAGAAAGAGAGAGAGAGATGACGAGTTCTTTGACCCACATCTGACTCAACAAGCAAAATATTCCCACAACATGGACAAAATGCATTGCAAAACTAAGGAATGGAAGACAATAAAGTGTCAGGACAAGTTTTTGACAAGCAAAGACATTCATGAGCCAATCAGAATGCGTTTCCTAACCCAAATTTAGAACCCAAAGTCAAAATTGAGGAACGAAAACTCAAATATGAGCTATGATGCTTGGGGATGCTCGGTCGACCAATTTAATGGCTCCATGTGTCTTGGTATTGATCTAGGCACAACCAATTCATGTACATTATTCATTATTGATTGCTTTTTGCTGTATGATTGTATTGTTACGCTCTTATATAATGTCGTGTTTTGGACTTGATTTTCATACAGGCGTTGGGATTTGGCACGTAGAACGTAATCATGTCAAAATTTTTAAAGAATCGCTTGGATCGAGGTCGTACAACACCATCTATTGTAAGGTTTGATCGATTAAGTCAACATGTAGATGTTGGGAATGCTGCGATTGGTTTAGAGACAACGGAACCTGTGAAAAAATACTATTCGCTCGGCCAAAAGATTACTTGGTCAAAATTTTGCAAGCAAAGCCACTGAAGTGGCTAGAATGTATGCTTCCTATGACGTCGTACCTTCAGCTCAAGGAAATGTGACCGTACAAGTGGTTCGAGGAAATAAGAAGGTCAATGTCCAGCTTGAAGAAATTTCAGCTTGTATTCTCACCGAGCTTAAATCTTCAGCTGAAGGCTATTTTGACGGTCAAGTTAGTTTTGACAATGTGGTCATTACAGTTCCTGCATATTTCAGTGACTCTCAAAGAAAAGCTACGCTCACTAGTGCGTATATGGCTGGGTTTAAGGCTGTAAGATTGTTAAACGAACCCACGGCGGCGGCAATGGCTTACGGGCTGTTTTTTGTCTGGGGAAAAAATTAGTGACAGTTTTCGACTTTGGTGGAGGAACACTAGATGTATCGTTGCTGAGCATCGAGGATGGCTAATTTGAAGTTTTGGGTATTGGAGGTGACACGAATTTGGGGGAGATGATATCGATAACATGCTTGTAGATCACTTGCTGGAGGTGCTGTACAAGCATCATAATGTTACTCGAGCACAAGTGGGGGATGGAGAAATGGTGAGACTGAAGAGAGAGGTCGAGAAGGCAAAGATCAGACTCTCGGAAAAGGAGCAAGCGAATATTGTCGTGCATGACATTGCGGCTGTGCCCAAGTTTACATTCACTCTCATGCGACGCAAGTTTGAAGAGCTGTGTGACCCGATCTGGAAGAAGTGAGAGGCGTTGTGTAACTCTTGCAAGTGTGGGACGGTTACTAACAAACACTTTAATCTTGTTTGAACCGTCGATGGATGCAGGTGCCTTCGGATCGTATCGAGTGTGCTCAAGGAAGCAGAAGTGAAAAATGCTGACATTGACGAAGTGATTCTTGTAGGAGGTTCCACCCAAATCCCGATTTTACGCGCAATGATTTCAGAGGCTTTTGATGGCAAAGTGCGTTGAAGTTGGCTGTACTTGTTTTGATAGCAAATTTTGGTAAGCTTACCAATGCATGTGTCCTCAGGAACTCTGCATGTCCGTCAATGCTGACGAAGTGGTGTGTGAGGGAGCTGCTATCCAGGCTGCTATCTTGAGTGGCGTGGACAAGCGTGTATTTCGTGACGTGCTTATGATGGACGTCCTTCCATTATCCATTGGTCTTGAGACGGCGGACGGAAGCATGGAGGTGATTCTTCCTCGAAATGCACGCATCCCAACGACGGTGACAAAGCACTTCCAGACGTATGAGGACAATCAGCGTGGACTCACCGTTGAGGTCTATGAAGGTGAAAAGAAGATTGCCAAGGAAAATGATCACATTTGCTACTTTAACTTCGCAATTCCTCGAAACAAGATTGGTAAAGCGGGTGAATTTGTACATCCCGTCACTTTTACCATGACTGCCAGTGGCATTCTACAAGTGCAGGCCGGAGTTCATCACGCTTCTGAGGACGCACCAATGTCAAAGGCTGCAATATTTCTCATGGTAGGCTACATTGTCACGCTCTTTGGCTTCTACGTGTTTTTCCGCATATTTTTTTACCGAAAAGAGGGACATTACCACATGATACGAGTTTACGAGATGTTGCGGTTGGGTTCGAATCGACTTAATAGTTTGACATTGATATGATTTGCTATTTTATTGCTTTGACGTCCGGTAGCGTACAAGGTGTGCTGAGTTTGAAGATGCTAAGTTTGAAGATGCTAAGTTTTCATTAATGCGTTTCCACTGTTTATCTTTAGAAGTCTTCAGCATCTTTTTATCATCAGGCTTTGAAAGGTTTTTAATGGATTGTATTCGTAGTAAAGCTCTACCGCATTCAAAGTTGCATCCATCCGCTTTTTGCCAACCTATGTATCATCACATTCACAAGCAATGTTAGCAGCTAATCATAGGGATTGCGAACTAGCAAACGTACAACGAGACAGGAGGTAGTCGATGTCGTCAGTGGCAGCAAGGTGCTTGATGAATCTTAATTTAAATGGGGTGCCAAGATAGCCGAGTAATCCTCTCGTTTTGCTGCCTCTGTAACACTCTCTTGTATTAAGCAAAAGTTATCAGCACGCCATCGAAAAAGCAGGAGGTATCTAGCAGTTCTAGTACCACGGACAAAGGGTGGAACCTGTGACAATATGCCCATAGCCAGCTGCGGACACGTGTGGTGAAGATCATTGTGACGCTACCCAGCGCCTATCCAAATCTACGCAGTCCACCAGCTATGTTGTCGCTCAGTACTGTATCGGTCGGTGTATCTGCACTCAGCCTGTTCGTTTTTTTCTTGTCCTGGACAAGTCAAAGAAGGCCAGTTTCTGCCGCATACGTGTCCTACCTTGACCTAACAATGCTGCGTTAATGGATGCAGGCTACGAGTTCATACGGAAGTGCAGTAATTTGGTCGGGAAGCAACCGCTCTAGTAGCCAGAAAACCAGAGAAATAAAGTCGTGAGCAGTGCTGTATAGCTCGTGGTTGTAGGTACAGCAGCAATGACAATCGCGAGTTTGTGTAGTTGCAGGGGGCACGAAATTAATCCGAAAAACAAGCAGATTCGAAGTTTGACTGCAACCTGTTCTTCATAGAGACCGGTAGAGTGATATTGTGACGAACGTGTGCACTACACGAATGCATGTCAGCCACATTGGATCCCAAGAAAAATTTGTTTGAGATGAAATTCTGCATCGAGCTGACGAAGACTTTGTGAAGAGGATATTGTACTTGGTAAGTGCTAGCGTAAAGGGTGGCAAATTCATTTGGCGACATTCTTTTCAGCTACGTCCTCGTCGAGTTTGCAAAAGAATCGTGGCCTCGAGCTGGTGTCACATTTCGAGCAAAATTGAGGGCGCTATGCATTATCTTAGGTTAGGCCAGCTGTACTAAGCACCTGTCAAGCGATAAGTTACGACCAAGTATGGCATTAAACACTCCGGCATTTTCTTTCAGGAACTACTGAATTACACATTGCATTGCACACTTATGGTGACGTTTGAGGAACACTGGGTGGCGTATGGCTTGGATTTGTCATGGCAAGCAACAAAGCAGTTTTAGCACGCAGTTATCTTCGGCGTTATCTTTCAAAGGAACCGTGTGTATTGCGGTGCGCTAGTCAACTCATGCTTGACTTCGATGTCGCAGCAGTGGATTTGTGGGAAGATGTTCTAACAAGCATGATGCAACTGGGCATGGTTCGATCACTGTTTATTATGGGCCCACTTCGCCGCAAAGCGTTTGCGCGATCTCTACAATGTGCGCCGCAGGTATGAAAGGGCGTTTTGACCTCATCGCTGACCCAGCAGAGGCACAAGCACAACGAACAAATGCTGTGTGTCTCTATCAACAAGTTTTCATGATGCTATCGGCCCAGTCCCAACACTAAGGAAGCTACCATGTGCTTCGTGAAGACTTTCTATTTCAAATGTGCAGTCTGCGTTACAGCGCATGGTAACCTTTTTTCAAACATGTCCGTTTCTTGACCAAGTGGACGAACCTGCGTGTGTGATTCATTTACGGGACTTGAAAGCGTTGGCTGAGGAAGAGTGCAATGGTGCGATCATAAAGCTATTGGACATTTACTGTTGCTGCGAAGTGTGCACTGCTCATCCCCACACCGCGTGCCCGTTTTGAGGAATTGATGCGAATGATTCAAGCTGGTGCACATGGGCACTTGGTGCGGTGAGCTATCATTGATATAGAAGAACGTGATAACGGACGCAGACCCAGCTGTGAGGTAAGCCACCGATGTAGCCGAACAGTAACAAATCAATTTCGTGTCATGAGGTGTGAGGCCACTGATAGATATGTAGACCAGGTGCTGAAACTAGCGCAAAACTGCTTACATGCAAGTGCTACCTTTTACATTTGTGTAGAGTATGAAGTAAATAGAAGTATGCTTGGTAATCTTGGATAT